AATGTAGGTATAACCTGACTTATTAAAAGTATCATCAAAACCTATTGTCTTACAATTACAGAAAGGCTCTTCTATATCTTATAACATCTAACTTTTCATGGGAGCAAAAAGGCTTAATCTTTAGTTTGGAAAAAAATAGTAACAATTTACCTTTCATGAATCACAAACACTTATGCAAATATTTCTTTCCTCACGATTCAAGAACTGCTCCTTTAAACTTGCCGTTCAGATCAAAATTGCTCCCAAGAATGATTTCAGTCACCAAGGTTGTCATTCTGTGGTTACAAAGCTGTGAGGCTCCCTGAGGTCACACAGAGCTGCTCACTTTACAAGAACAGAAAGAGCATGTGCTCCAGCACAGTGGTCATATGCTGGCCTGTCTGTGAAGAGCAAAACATCTCTGTGCTCCTACTGCATGGCTCTTAGTGAGCCAGTCTTCTACGTAGAACAAAAAATCAGTTTTTGTTCCTCGTGTTACCTGCAAAGTACCAAAAAAGGCTGTTTCGGAAACGAATAGTCTCAGATTAGTTTAAGATGGACACCAAACAGAATTTGTGTACTGGGTTATTATTGCTGTATTAATTACATGTGACCAAGAGTCTACTCAAAATGCTTCAGAAAGTAGTGGCACTGAATAAAAAGGCGTTTAAGTGCCACGTTTACACTCCTCAAAAAATACGCAAACACTGGCACATCAAAACAAAATGAGAGTCGTCTTGATGAGGATTTATCATGCCTACAAAAGAATACCCTAACACTGTCCCCGCACAAATCTCTACAAAGGGCATGATGGGAGGGGTCCTCAGGACGATTAAGGAGGACTCCAGCTGCTCCTGTGGCAGTAAATATCTCCTGGCGCTCTTTATAAAGCATCTGCTCTCTTTACTACCACATTCAGTTTAAGGCAGCAGTGAGCCATGTAACACTGGGTAAGGTGCAGGTTACACAGCCTCTCCTGCCTTCTTAAGGTGCTGCCTATCTGATCTCATGCTTTTGAGCTTTTCTGGCCTAAACTGAATCTATAGAGGGGCTCAGAAAGCCAATAACAGTAATAAGATCATGTTAAGAAAGCAACCATAAATGTACTACTCCCTAACATAAGCTAACAATGTTCTCCATCATTTAAATATGTTAAATAATTTAAAATGTGAAGGGGAAATGGGGAAAGCTGTAATCTGTTTTGTGAAGCATATCAAATGCACATAACAGGAGTATAGGGTCGTACTTAATATTTTCGCAACAATTTTATTCACAGTTTGAATGATTGCAAAAACTTAACTCAAGTAAAAAAATGATCATAGTTCACTCAAAACAATGAATAAAGCAGGACCATTAGAAGTTTTACAGAAATCTTCTTGGGATAACAATCAGTGAAGATGCATTTTTCTTTATTTACTGCTGACAATCAGAGCAAAGTCTTTTTGCGTTTTGTGAAGAAAAATTTTCAGCATTTATACAGAAAATAATCTGTGTTTTGTGTTCAGCTGGATGCTGGAATATTAGGTAAAAGCACATAGAAATGTGAACTTAGCAAAATTAGCACAAAGGGCTGACTTTTCCACATAAAGGCCGCATCCCTTGATTTATCATTAACCAGAGGCCAAAGAATAGATTATGCAAAAGACTTTTATATAACTTCTTCCTTTAGATGCAATTAAACTTTCACAAATTACATTTTAGTTGATTTTTTAGAGGCTTCAGAAAATTAACAAAAAAAGCATTTTATTGCAGTACAACAATATCTCAGTTGCCTGTTCTGAAACCCTGGTTCTTTACAGACTCAAAGGCATTTTGGCCTATTGTTCTTGGAGACCTCTTGCCAGGAACTTTGCAGAAAAGTTATGTTTTGTACAAGGAAACATTAGCTGTTGAGCCATCTTCTTAAGGCAATGTGCTTTCTATATGTCTGGAAGCTCCATTAAGAAGAACTGAAGAAGCATATACAGCATTTCCCAAACAAAGCTTATGACTTAACACATGGACCTTATTCTTACACATCTGTGTGAATATTTCATTGGCTGTTAAAATGGCATTGCCTGTAGCAAGGCACAGCACCTGTGACTCATCCAATGAAGAGCTTCAGCAAGGAGGGCAAAACCTCCTTAGAAAGGATTAAAACGGACTACACATTACTACAGGACCATTAATTTGAAAGCCTCTGCATAATTCTGCTTCATGTCTGTGCTAGGAAAGATATTTGTGCTTAAGAAAGTCCCTACATCACTTAGACATTAAGGAATCTGACATCCAGGAGAACAAAAGCATTCCCTCTACAGTAATAAGTTAACAAAACCGCACTTCCTTTTGAAAGCCATCTTTAGAGGTGATACCTAATACCACGCAGGGGTGAAGTACCCCGACATCTGCCTCAGCTCTGTACCAGTGGGTCTAATTAGGAGAGAGAGCCTTGCCAGGCCACCTGGTACCCTGTGCAGCCCAGATCTATAATTGGCAGAGTCCCACTGGACTGCCCTCCAGTCACGCCCCCACTGGCAGGGAAGGAGGGACGCTCCTGTCCCGCTCCTGGGCGCTTGTTAGTGCGATTCTGTCATGTAGCACGTTTTCTGCAGCACCCACATCCCGGCATTTCTCTTCCCCGTCCAGAGGAGCCATGTCTTTAAAAATCAGGCTGGTATCCAGCAGGAAGCCTTCACTGCTCTCCTCCCATCCTGCAGTCAAGATTGAATTACTCCCATCTCTGCCTCCCAGCTCAGTACAAAAGGAAGGAGCAAGTTTCCATAAGTTTACATGCAGGTAGTAAAAGCCTGAGGCTGGAGGATAAGGCTTTTTTTTAGTGATTTGTCGGTGATTTGTCTTATGATTGTTTTTGGAACCTCACAAAATGCACAAAACGCCCCTACTATATAGTATCTATTTTACAGCATGTGATGCCGATCCTCACCAAATACAGAAAAAAAAAATCTCTCGTCCCCTGGGCTAACCATAAATTTCAGTTTCCCCTTTTCACTAAACTATCAAGAAACAACTCTTTAGTTTTTAATCATAAACCTAAAAATGAAAACTGCATCCAGTCTAGGTTTGAAAAACCTGAACGCAACACATCACAACCTTCATTTAAAACTATTAAATCTATTTAATCCATTTTCTTATCGGACATTAACATTTTAGGCTGTTTCGTTGCATTTTCTCATAGTAAGCAGAAATTTTATTGAATTATTTAAATCTTTTAATTTTTAATTAAAAATGTCAGAATCCTAAGCAAACTCCTCCCATCTCCTACACACAACCATCCCTCAGGAAAACAGGGTATGAACAAAAATCTAACAGCTTCAGTGGTATATTCATTCCACAAAATAAACCGAGTGATAGAATTAACGTTTAAAATTTTATGATCTATTGCTCAGTGGCCCTTTAATATAAGCGTTTGCCAAAACACCAAAGGAAAAAGTCAGTTGATCACATTTTCTTTTGCCAAAAAAAATATAATTAAATATATTAACTGACGTTTTACAGTGCATTAGAGGTGAATGAGTCACAGAGAGGCCTGCAATTACTAGATTATCTCCGAAATCTTTCATACTCTTTGAAATTCCTGCTTTATAGTTGGCATTCAGTGATGGAGAAGGATATGGAAGCAACCATTTGCTGAGTAAACTGTGAGAACTTAAGCAGTGTTTGCTTATCAAGGTTCAATGAAATAATATGCTCTCCAGAAATAAAGATTAATGTAGAAAATTCACGTTTGTGCTGCATTTCCTTTAACAAAGACATTGGCTCCATGGCCATAACATGTTTTCTTTCTTCTCTTTTCAGAATGGAATAAATCAATTAATCGTTCATTTTGTAAAACAGATGCTTAAGTATTCTGTAAAAAAAAATTAAGACTACAGCAGTGAAAACCTGACATCTAAGAAACCACCATGGGAAGAAACGGAAACAGACATTAAGGGAATAGCCACTCCCAATCCTTCCTGAACGAATGCCATGTGTCATGTGGAGAAACGGATTGCTCTTCAGACGTGATCTGGTGCATATTCCCCCAGCTCAGGGGCTAACAGCCGACTGACTGAGACCCCCTGAAATCACAAATCAGTTCATGAGTAGCTCTCTCTCCAGTCGGGAGGGGGGACATTAGTTCAGGCCAGGAGACACTGGGTTTCCCCAAAGATGATGACAATGCCCTGTACATTCCTTCCCAGTACAGACACACCACTTTGCAAACAGTGCCACAACAATGATGTCATGCTGCGTCGTACCCAGGGAGAAAAGCTAGGAGCTGCTGGATTCTCCTCAGACCTCATCTCCCCAGGGGCTGAGAAGAAGCCCAGAGCTCCAGCTATACTATACAATTAACGCTAGAATATGGATTTGCATGCATCAGGTCTACACACAATGTAAAAGCACTAGAAACACATGAAAACAGTCACCTCATCCTTGATTTCATTGTCTAAAGGTTTCGTTGAAAGAAGACACTTGATTAATATAACAAATACGCCTGCAAGCCCGATGTTTAACCCATTTGCAAATCCAGTTAAGCATGTTCAGTTTTTAGCTTAATTTTTCAAATGTGTTGATCTTATTTGTGGTCCTAAACCTTCACATTTTTCTTTCCAAAAATGACCAGCAACCTCTCACTGGCGAAATGTGTTTTTTGTTAACATTCAGGGTGGTTTCATATCTGTAAAAGAGCACAGAGCAACATTCCAGTCTTCGCCTTGACGAAAAGTGGGCTGGCACATTTATCTCTACAAAGATCAGACCAAGTGCAGTCATTTCAAAGACCCAAAGCTAAAAAAAAAAAGTTTAGTAACATTTATACTTGAAGGCACTGCCAAAGCATTCTTGGTTGTGAATGAACCACCATTCCCAGGGAACCTTTTTTAAATTACATGTAGCAGCATTTATTTTTTCTTTTAATGAAAATCATTATTCTTTCTCCAAACCACCAATTTCCACTTTTCTGTTTCTTTCTCTACGGCATTAAAATGTTGGTTTTCTGAACACAATCTCTTTTTTGAAGAGGAAATTAGAAATCTTACCTAAGTTTATTAAACCCCCTTTCTTCCCAGTGCGTTTAAGCAGGCAGATGTTTCCAGGTGCTGACAAATGCAGTGGGGATGAGGGAGTAAGGCACTGTGGTTATACTATTCCAGCTATCAGATGTGGGGTCGTAACAGTCTAACGTCTTACATCGTTGAGCACCGAAGTAGCCCCCTACCACGTAAAGTTTGTTGCCCGAGGCTACGGCATGGCAGCTCATTCGTTTGGAAGTCATATCCCCGACTCGTGTCCACTGGTTGGTCTCGCAGTCAAAGCGGTAAGCAGAGGCAGCTGTGAACTCTGTGTCGCCCCCCATGATGAATATTTGACTGCCCAGGACTGCAGCGGCCGTGTAGCGCCAAGGCTGCGGGCATTCCGCTGCGATTATCCAGCGGTTTTCCACTGGGTCATAACACTGGACTTTGGAGGCTCTGTCCCGGTGAATGGTGGTCCCCCCGAAGACGAACAGCTTCAGCTTGGCGCTGACCACTGCGGCATTGCTGACACCATCCCTGAGGGGTGCCATCATGGTCCACTTGTTGGTGAGAGGGTCATACCTCTCCACCTGCTTGAGTGACACGGAGGGAGAGGCAGGAAAAACCCCCGCGATAGCCGTGTGGCCGCCGACGACGTACAGGCAATTTTCCAGCTCAGCCGAACCGTGGCCGAACCGAGCAATCAACATGGGTGCCCCCTTGGACCACTCTTCGTGAACTGTATCGTACACCCAAACGTCCTTAGAGACTCCATTTTCTGAGCCCCTTCCTCCCGTCACATATACCTTGCACCCAATAGCGCAGGCGCTGAACTCCTTCCTAGGGCTTGGCAGGTCTGACTTAGGAATGATCTCCTTGGCCTTGTGGTCAACCTGATAGATCTTATCACACATGAAGGTCTGGCCACCCAGGATTAGCAATGTGTGCCCAGCCTTGCGAGGACGGGCACAAGGGCTGGTGACCACTCCGTCATTTTGTAGGATCTTCTTCTTGCACTGAATGGCCTCCTCCACGATCTGCATGCTGCGTTTGTCCGACACCACCAGCTCCTCACTGGCTACAGCGTTGATCAGGCACTCGGAAGGCAGCAAGGCCAGGCGGATGCCCCTCAGCAGCTCGGGAAGGTGTTCTCTCCTGCTCTCCAGGTCATACCGCACCCAGCGCATGACAGCGTTGTACACAATCTGCTCATCCTCGATCTCCAGCTCGTCGCTGAGGATCAGATCCAGGAGCTTTCCCTTGGATAGGCTGAAGAAGTCCTCTGTGTCCCTCAGAGCCTCAAAATGCACCAGGCACATTCTCCAAGACAGCTCATAGAGGTGCTTGCACTGGTGGGCGTCAGAGAGCAGCATCATCCCAAGACAGTTGGACGAGTGTAGGTTCTTTTCCAAGAATTCTGCAGCTGCGTCCCTGATGTCGTGGAACTGGAGCATGTCCCCGGCTTCCAGCAGGGACTCGGCATTCTCCTCGTTGATGATGACCCGTGAGGAGTAGGCAAAGTCCAGCAGGAGCTCCAGCACCTCGGGGTGCACGCTGTCGTGGAAGTTGACCTCGTTGTCCAGGCTCTCGCGCAGCCCGCCGCTGAACATGGCCTCGAAGTAGCGGCTGCAGGCTGCCAGCACAGCTCGGTGGCAGGGGAAGGAGCGGTCGCCCGCCCACAGCGTGACGTCAGTGAACATGCACTGCTTGCGCAGAGTGTTCAGGTGGGTGAGCACGCTGTCTGGGTGAGAGGGCTTGTGGAACAGGGAGATGTTCATGGAGCCAGTGCTGGTGCGGGACTTGCGATTCTCATGCACGCTGACCGACATCGTTTCAGACGCCTCCGGGGAATCACCGTCCCCTAACTGTCTGACTGCAAAAAAGAAATGTGCAATTATACATCTATACAAGAGGTGTCCATAGAGCACCTTCCTAACAGTAAGGAATGCCTGATAAAATACATTTTGCTCAACATAACGGTGATTCCTCCCATTTCATTTTTTATATTATCTAACAGACCCTTCATTTCACTTTAACAACTACTTTTACGGGAAAAAATCTTTTAAGTGTCATTTAGAGCAAAGGGGCAACATATAAAACTGGAACCATTAAAAAAAACTGCAGTTTTAGTGTCAGTTTATGACCAAATTATAATAACTTATTTTATTTTTAGAAGGTTGCAGAACACAGCTACCAATTTCATTACACATTAGAATTTTAAAAACGTATTTTGATTCCTTCCCTCTGACCCAAAAGCTGATTCCTTTTATTTTGATAATAGACCTAAACTGTGCAGAAATCATGGCCCCCGATTTGTTTTTTTGTTTGCTATGTTTTGATGACGTGCACAACACAGATCAAAGATGAAATTGGGTTCTTCAGCTGAACAAAATGAACTAGCATTGTGCACACAATACAGTTGATAAGTGTAGCCGGTATCATCCTGCAGAACATAGACCTCTTAAGTAAACAACTTTTTTTCCCCATCATGCAAAGATTTAATCAAAGGTAAATAAAGGGGCCAAAACCCACTGGGTGATTTATAAAATGCACCTTAAAAACATGATATCTGTTCACCTGGAAGTTTGCCTAACCGTCAAAGAGTTAAGGCACTTATGAAGTATTATTATGGAAAAGAGATATTACAAGAACAGTTTTATTTAATTTCACTGAAACCTTTTTTGGAAAATTGTCAAGTTTTGCATCGCAATAAAAAGCTCAACTCCTCGTTTGTTCCCAGTTAAATGATCTGTCCCAGGACCGCCTTCTCAAAGAAAGATCCCTCCTGTCACAAGGAATGCATTTCAATCTGAGAGAAGGAAGAACCTCTTCATCCGAAGGGTTGTGTCAGTGTGGAGAAAGCTATCCAGCCATGGTGGTGAAGCCGACAGCCTGGCTTCCTTGTTCCTAGCTGAAATGACTGGATGAGATGCTTGGATCAATAAGCTCATTGCCAAACAGGCTGGCCGAAGGACGTGCTCTCTTCTGTAAACAACTGTAAGTTCTTATAATATCATGGCTTCCACGATAAGGGAAAAAATAAAACCCGCTCCTTGGAATCATTATGCATTCTTAAAACGATACGTGTTCAAATCCTGCTTTAGACTTCATTTGAAAAAAACAGGTCTTGACATTAAAATATCTGCATCATGCAGGTACTGCTGTGCTTGCGTTTGCCTGGCACTGATGCTTCATTTAGAGGTCACTGGCCCTGCTAGCTCTGGTTGCCAAGAGGAATTCTGTAATTGAGCAGCAAGCCAAAAAATGGCATGAAAACAAATTAATGACAGTCAAGTTTGGAGAGAGCTGCTCTGTTATTTCCAGCACTTAATTTCAAAGAGCTCAACAAGCCAAGCAGAAAGGATGATTAGCACTTGGGAAGAGATCTCCCACTAGCATACCTATCATTCCTCAATAACAAGACCCCAGTCCCTTCGGCTGCAGACTCAACCTACCTGCTGTCCTGCTGCACTTCAAACCAGACCTATTGATCAATTATTAAAAAAGGCTCATTTATAGCACTAGAGCTCTTCAATAAAACTATCTTCAAGAATTCCCAAAGCACCCTTACCACATTACCACCTGCAGGCTTTAAACGAGACACAATCAAAGCCATTGTTATTACGTAGCAGCTACATAAGAAACGTAAGGAATCCAAGTCGGATAATTATTGAGAGTTAATGCAGTGGCGACAGCAACAGTGATGGAAACAGCTACACGAGGGTTTACAAATCATCAAGGACAAAATATACTGGAGATGTTGGGATTGTAGCCTAGGAGCCACCGATTTCGGATGCCAGACTGATGCAAAAGATGAACTTCCTAAATGGCTAGTTTAATGGAGACAGGTCCGGCTTTCTATGCAGGAGGTAATGTCACAGCAGGGCGTCTCATTTTGAACTCAGATTAAGCCTTAGACAAGGGCATGCAGTCTGCACAGATTACAAAGATGGGGGCAAACACAAAAGGTGTATTGTGGCAAGGATTGGGTAAAGCAGGGTTGTGGTGCAGCAAGGGAGGGAGGGAGGGAGTCAAGTCGTGGGGCGATGTTAATCCTGCACCACTTACGCCGGCACAAACTGCTGACCCAGGCACAACCACTGACACTGAAGAGCTGAGGGGGCACCTGCATCTGCACGGCTCTGCCCTTCCCAACAGGGCTCCCTCTAGAGGCTGTGCTGTTATGGTAGTCCTGCGATGCACAATGGAATAAAATACACATGAAAGCTTACAATCATCAGGCTCCGCACAGGACATTTTTTGCAGTCTGTGCTGCTGTTTCATATTGATCTTCTCTTACCATGTCTATCAAAATGCCCCTTTTCCCCCCAACCAGGACCAAAAACCGATTTCACTTCCCCCTCATCAATCCAATAAACACTGGTGGGCTACTTATTTTTCAAATACCAACGACACGCCATTTTTGAGTCTCGCTCGATTTCTTAAATCGTCTTTAATACTAAAAGACTGCTTGAAAAGACTTAAAAATATCCAAAATAAAATGAATACAAAAGTACAAAAAATGAACAGACTTCACAACAGATACTGTGAAGAATGTGATCCACAACTTGGGATTTTCTGCCTCAGGACCGGGGGAAATAAATCCCTATGCTCTCTGCCAGGACCACTAAATCAGACTCTGTGCACGGAATACCTAATTTTCCAGGCATTCATATGTACTTTAATTATACCTTTTAATTGTGTTGCCTCTCAGTAACCGGGAGACAACGTCTATTTAAGCTGGTTCCTCTTTCTGCTTGTTATTTCTCTTGACAACATGGGACTACAAAGCCCCTCGGGGTCCCCCATTCACAAGGGGAGTTGGTATTCCAGTACCACTTCCCTTGGGCTGTAAGATGGGGTGCTGGTGGTGGGAATGCCTTTTCAAGGCTGTCAAACACTAGTGGCTTTTTTCTCAGCGTCTGTGCCTCTGAACCGATCACCAGCTGGCACGCAGTCTGCCGTTAACACTCGGGGGCGCCTATCAATCAGCAAGAGCCCACGTCACAGCCAGGCGGAGGATCGCCCGAGCCCCCGCCGTGCTTGGCGCACCGTACAAACTTTCCCTCAAGGCCAAGGATGTGCGTGCGTGGCGTGGGTAATCCCTTCTGGGGAAATGAACAGTAACAGCCCATGGGAGTCAGGAAAGTGTCTTATCAACCCTTGGAGACCAGGAAACTAAATTCATAGATGTGACATGAAAAGCAGATCAATAGAGGGCCGTACAATCCCCCCCCGTTTACACAGATTAAAAAGGAAATCAATATGCTGTTTCTGCTGGGAAAGATCCAGATTTGACGAGCATTTAAAAGCTTACAGCTTCGAGTTTAAGTGCACGTTTACCATGTGTAGGAGTTTCTATGCTCCCCTCTTGGAATAGGCAATTTAAAACAATTAAAACGCGCAGTAATTTTCATTTGACAGTTCTGTCAGCACCAGTGCACCCACCAGAGAGTAAAGATATTCGGAGATCTTTTTTAAACACTTTAAACTGATTGGGGATCCGATAGCTGGGTACCGGCACCCACACGAAGTCACGCCTTCCAGTACGACACTGTGCTCCTGAAAACGAACGATTTCCTCGAACAGCTGCGGAAGGGTCTCCGTGCCCAAGAAGATCTCTGTTCTTCCTTGGCTTTCTGGGTTACTGTCGTCTGAAGCTACTAATTTGAGCGTTTTTCTCGTGTGCTTGCCTTAATAACGCCGCCAGTTGGCGGACAGAACGCAATCCTGACCGTCCAATTTACTGAGAGTAGGTAGCAATTAAAGCGAAACTGAACTCTGTAATCTGCTGGTACAGACACCGTCTCCCGATGCGAAAGCATAATGCGTAGCGGAGAAACCAGAGCTTTACCTGAGAGGACTGTGAAAATCTGTTTTTTTTTTTCCGTGAGGAAAGTATAGCCCGGCACGTTAAGACAAGGGCACGTTCGTGTTTATTACAGTACGCTTTCTATTGATCAGCAAAGTCGACCCAATGTATGTTCCATCTTCTCCTACCCATAAAGTACAGTACACTTGCACGGAGACGGAGTCTAGGTTTACAAGGCTAGCACTGAATCTATATTTCTCCTATTTCTCCCATTAAGCAAAATAAAAAGCTAACCTCAAAACACACGGTCGTTAAACAGTATTTTTTAAGACAGTTCAAGTATTTTTGGCTAAAAGTGCATTTTATCGGCTTCTATCACTAGAGGCTATATGCACAAGTGCTCCGGTAGGGTATGGTGTCTTTTTTTACATTTACTCCAGTGGCATTCTTTCCAAGCACACTGATGCACGGATTTGTGCTCTCCAAAGAAGACTGAAAGAGAAAATACAACCGAGAGTCACACGAGTAACGCCTGATGAAATAGCAGCAGCGCTGTGTGCCGATGAAAAGTTTCCATATTTACCTGTTCATACGCCTACCTGTAGTCTATCCTGCGCCGGCTAACACTGTCACCCGAGTACAGCCGTCTACACAGAAGGGCGCCTCACCGTCTCGACAAATATTCCCACAAGCTTAAATGAGTTTGTTACCCCCTCCCCCCCAAAAAAAAATACGTTTTAAGAAATTAAAAGTTTGACTCCACGCCGGCGGTCTTGACGCCTGACAGACAGGAAAGAGAAACCTTGACAAAACACTTGTCCGCGTCGAGGTGCTGTAGCTAAAGCTCGGAGCGAACACGTAGGTCGGCAAATAAAAAAAAAATATATAAAGAAGAAAAACGGCATCTTAGTTGCCCGGTTTCTGTGGTACCGTGTTAGGCAGTCAGGGGAGCTCAAAAATGCGAAATACCTCTACAGCAGCACCTGTAACAACAGACCCGGGGAAAAGATGCAACCCCCCCCAGACCAAACAGGCAGAGAAAACCAAGCGCTGCGAAGAGATATTTGCGGTTGTGGATTTTGCTCTCTGTAAAATATTTGATTTGGCCCAGCGTTGCAGCGTCGGTGTGAAACCCGAATTACAACGTTATCTCCCCTAGCTCCAGTCCGTGCAAAATGAGCACATAAACAAGGAAATCGAGTTAACACCGCACGTCTGGGTGATCTATTGTAAAACCTTATTTATTTCAGCAACGGTTCCACGTGATTGAGAAACGAGAAACCAGAAGCAGAGGCTCAACTTCGCCTTCCCAAGTTGTAATCCAATTAACAACAAAAACAAACACCGAAGTTGCAACGCTAGAGCAGAATCAGTTCTTAACGAGGTCTACCCATATACTTACAGAGAAAAATAGGTTGTTAAGAGAACAGGATGGATGGATTACAGTCTCCGTTTCACAAATTGTATCATAATGTAATTCCCAGTCTCTCCTTTGTAATCCTTTACTTTGTATCAAGACAACTGTACTTCCCCCGCAACCGAGCACACCAAACTACAAAAAGAGCTACAGCCGGAGGCAGGGAATGAGTTTCGGGGGCTGTGATTGACGGATGGCCCCAGCCAACGGGAAATCAGACATCCGGACTAATTTCGGTGCTGTCCAATGAAATTCGAGTTCCTTGCTGTAGTGCGGGCGGTGCAGAGACGAAAGGACCAATCAGAGGATGAGACAGGAATTGGGGTGGGATTTGTTGTATGAATGGTAGAGCTGTTGCGAATAGGTGGATGAGCGGTAGGTAGTTAGTACGATACTTAAAGATCTTCGTTCACGGCAGTTGTTAATAGGAGTCGCATTTTAAAACATGCTCTTTGTGAGGTGTGTATAGCGTGTCACTTTTTTTACATGCATAAGCAGATGAAGTACTTCGATTTTCCGACAAACGGGTTTATCACGGTTTGACAAGATTGATAACGTGAAAGCGTTTTGTTCAACGCAGGGCTGTTTTATTCAGTGCATCCCACAATAAAAGAAAACGTTGCCTTATGCTTGGCGTTGAACGTTATCTGTTTTATGTCTTTGGATGACGAGGATGAAAAGTACGAACTCACTCCCTTAGGTGTGATGATAACTCTTACTCGGACACAAATCCTTTACTGGTGTTTGGTGCCCTCTCGTGGACAGAAAACGATACTGGATGCTATGTTATTTTCCAACAGAAACCGCCTATTCAAAGTTGTTTAAAATTGAGCTTTTTAAAAAAAGTTTAAATTCTGCACCCGTGGGAGAATGCCGTGATTTAGGTTTTTGAAAATGCAAGGTTGCGTTTTCTAAAGGTTAAAGGTTAATGTGGCCATGTGGTACATTTCCATTGAGGAAATTACCATTAGCTGAATGATTTTTGTGCCCTGCTCCTAGAAGGGGGTGATGTGTAGTGAATATACTCCATGACTAAAATAGCATCTGGTTAGTTGTTTCATTGGTTAAACTGAATTACTAAAGAAATACTAGCAGAAAAACATGTGCAGACGGCACATTCAGAAATGAAGGATTTTATTGAAAGTCTATGTTTAATAATTCTACTTGCATTTATATAGTGCTTTTCATCCAAAAGGATCCCAAAGTGCTGTGCATATAGGAAGGGACCCATTTCACCCACCAATGAAGTGGAACCCCCACCTGGGTGATGTGAGGAAACAGGGGACTGAGAAACTGCATCACAAGTTAATTTCAGGAGAAACTTTGCAGAGGCCAGACGGTTCAAAACCAGACAGGAGTTTAGCCAGGAGAACAGTACAAAGAAAAAAGGCTGGTGAAACAAGAGTAGTTCCGAACGGTAATAAGGAAATTGTTTTAAGCTCTTTAAATGTTTCCAAACAACTGACCCATGTGGTGGATGCTGCACATTGGTGGGTGTGGAGGGGATCCCCATTGGCTGTAAAGCGCTTTGAGTGGAGTGTCCAGAAAAGCGCTATATAATTGTCAGCAATTATTATTAATTATTGTATGTTAACAGTTTTTTATATGAAGTATAAAAGTACATTAAAGTTGTTTCCACCTGGAACAAATGCTGCACATGCCACAAGGTGCCTTCATCCCTTTCCAGTTTGTATTCTGTTTTCTGTATTCTGTTCTGTTTGTGCTAAAGTTGCACGAGCTGTGCAAGCTCTATGTCTTATTCAGCATTAATTTTCCGTCAAATAGCAACGTCCCAGAGGACTCCAGGCTTCTAAGTTGCAAAGTGTAGATGCGTGGAATAAAGGAGTGTGTTCAGCTGCCTGTGTGCACGCATGGGTGTTAAAATACTCTATAGAGGCATGGCAGTGTGCTTAAAACTAACAATGGTACTGTAGGTGCCACTTTGCACAAAAGGTTGTGGCAGTCTGGAACAAGCTACCCAGAAATAACCAGTAGAAGTACTTGGGCCCTTTTCACTAAATGCTTGGTTGAGGTCCTTGGATCAGTTACCCTCTAGCAACCAAATAAGCTAGAAAAGCAGAAGGGCTTCCTGTCGCTGTAACCTTTCCTGAGTTGCTGCAAGGTGCTGCAGGCAGGCTTCCATTTCTGTCCATTTGGAATCTTTCAGGTTGTTGCAGGACATGAGAGCTAAGTAGCCATTCAAACACAGTTGCGTAAGTATACTCCTATAGCCATGTTGCATACTTTATTCAATACTCTGCATTCAGAATTTGATTTATATTTAATTTACTCCATGTATTCTAAACTGGACCTTATATCAACCATTCTATTTTTATCATCCTTAATGTACATTGTCATTTATTCCATATATACTGTACCAATCTGATCCACACATGCAACTTCATTCTACAAATATTAGAAATGTCTTCAGTTCCCAACCCAAATCCATTCATATGGATAATGTCTTAATGGAGTAACACATCAGCTATATCATCCTGCAGCTGCCAGCTGGCAGCCCACTGAAGCTCAGCAGACATGAAGCTGGTCAGTACCTGGATGGGAGACCTCCCATCTGTGTGGGTCCTAATGCCCCAGTATAGTGATGGGAACACTATACTATGAAAACTGTAGACGTAAAACGGAGGTCCTAACTCTTCGTGATCATTGAAAATTCCAGGGTGCTTCTCGAAAGAGTAGGGGTGTTACCTTGTTGTCCTGGCAAAATAACTCATTGACCTTTACCAATCATGGCCTCCTAATAATCCCCATCTCTGAAGTGGCCTTATCACTCTGTTCTCCTCCCACTGATAACTGGTGTGTGGTGAGAATAAAGGCACACTGTGGCTGCTGTTGCATCATCCAGGTAGGTGGGAAGGGTGTCCCCATTACCTGTAAAGCGCTTTGAGTCCACCTATGAATGAAATGAATTCCTAATGAACCTAGGTGTTTTCTGTTTTGGAAAAGTGGTAGGGAATTGTTTTCTATTCCCGTTTTATTCAATCATATTTTAGGCAGGATAGAATATATAATACCAATAAAATAATATTAATACGAGCAAAATAATCAGGTAAAATCCAATAATTAAAGGATATATAGGACAGACAAAACACATACCATTTCTATCCATGCCGGTTTCTTGAAGCTTTTAAGTGAGATCTGAAAACATAATTTCAGAATTTCATAGTGAATGTTTTTCACAGCCTGGGTGTATTGCAGAAGAAGAATCTATACATTATCTTACGTTTTGTAGTATTCTCTTTTGAGCTTTTGTGCAGTTAAATATCTGTATGAATACTTCTGTTTATCTAAATGTTTAAGGACTATTTTTTTGATGGAAAAGACTGTTGATTCAGCCTGTTACACTGTGGAGAAAAAGGAAAATGTATGCAATATAAAATAGCAAAAAACAGTCCCTTTTCCAGAGCAAGTATTCACTTGTCAATGAAATGTTTGAAAGTAATGTCAACACAATTACCTCCCTGTAGCTGTGTTGACATTATATTCAGATCAATTTTGTAAAGTAGGAGAACAGTTCTTCAGGAAATTTCGAACAAAACATTATGAAACTTTAAATATTCAAACTCGTTATTGCCTCTGAATTTTCTACCACTTTTATGCATACTTGACTGAAGAGATCCTTGGATAAATAAGTTACTAGGACACTAGAAAGCACAATGGCCTGCTGTCATTTTTAATCATAATTAATAAGTTCTTACACTTATATAGCGCCTTTCTGGACACTCCACTCAAAACACTTTACAGGTAATGGGACTCCCCTCCACCACTATCAATGTGCAGCCCCACCTGGATGATATGACGACAGCCATAGTGCGCCAGAACACTCACCACACATCAGCTATTAGTGGGGAAGAGAACAGAGGGATGAAGCCAGTTCAGAGATGGGGATTATTAGGAGGGAAATTGGGAAATTTTCCCCACTAACAACTCTTCCAGCAGCAACTTTAGTTTTTCCCAGGAGGTCTCCCATCCAGGTACTGACAAGGCTCACACCTGCTGAGCTTCAGTGGGCTTCCAGCTGGGAGTTGTAGGGTGATATGGCTGCTGGCTAACCTTTCTTCTTAAGTGATGCTAAGGGGTTTACCAATGAGAAGCCCTAGCGAAACCCATATTTTGCTCAGTGATCATTATTGAAAGCATAGAGTACCCTGACTTCTGCTTTTAGCCCTGTCTTGATCTAGTAGTGACAACAGCCCCCAGACCAGCCTGGAATGCAAACTGAAACAGCCTTACCTACTCAAGACAAGGGGACCTGCCTGAACACAACTCTTAGCAACTGATCTGAGTAACGGCAAAAATAAACACTGGTCAGGGAAACTATCCATTCAAACAGGAAGACAGCCCGAAACACTCAACAAATGTTTAAAATGTTTAATTTATATTACAATTATTTGCAAAAACATGTTTGCATGGGGTGAGGGTATACAGTATCTGCATTTTGAGCTCTTGGTCACACCTGCAGCAGTACAGTATATTATGCAGGCTGGTATCAGCTGCCACGCAAAACCCCCATCAAAGTAAATGTAAATCTACGATAAATGTGATCTATCTGAGTTAAAAAAAAACAATGCTAAGGAAAACACAGCAAGTTTACAGGTGGGGGAGCTACTCCTGTATGTAGCCACATTGTGATATGAAAATGTATTGAAGAGGTGGGCTCTTGAGTGTTGGGACAGACACTGCCTGTGCACAAGACTATTGAATATGTGTACAAAATTCTACCTAATTATTGTGAATAGTGTCTCTGGAGGTTGGAGGTTATTCCATGGTAACATTTGACTGGATCCCAAATGTTCATCTTATTGAAAAGAAAACTTTGTCTTGGTAAAACCTGGTTTTCTTTTATGTCGTAACCTTGTGAGCAGAGGGGGACAGGGTCTACTTCAGTCAGTCAAGAGTGAATTCAGAAAGACAGAAATCAGCTTGAAAAACCTGTAATGTCGTTGTGGTCTTGCAAGAGGGCAGTAGAGATGTTTGCTGCAATCATTCAGCAGCTTGTCTCAGCTCGTGGGAGTGATGAGCACTGCACACACTGAGAGGTGAGCGGTGTGCTGTCCTTTCATAGGTGCTTGAGTTGCTAGAGCGGTCTTAGAAAATACAGTACAACTGCCTCCTCTAAGAGTTACAGACACCCAGGCCTGTG